AGAATGGATCAAAGTAGAATGACATGGAAAGATATAAATATATAGGGGAAGGTAAGGCGGGGTAGGGGTCGTCCACGATGAGGGTTGGAGAGAGGGGGGTAAAGGGCGTTTTAGAGGGTAAGGGGCTTGGGGACTTCCGCAAAGGGTGCAGTGAGCGTGTTAGATCGGAGTGAATGGAGACGAATGGTACTTGGGACAAGACGATCTGTTGGAGTGTGAGCAGGGTAATATTTAGTGAGGGATTCAGGGAAAGGGTTATTTCCATATAGTCGGACTTGAGTCCTGGAAATGGGACGTACTGCCTGCACTTTAAGGAGGGGTTTGGGATTTGGCAGTTTGGAGGGATATTTGTGTATCTTTATGTGTGTATGCTTTTAGACTGTTGTATTCTGAGCACCTCTGCAAAAACAGTGATAAGTCGCTGAGAGTGTGTGAAAGTGTTTGTCATGATGATGAAAGTATTTTCTTTTTGGGGCATTTTCTTTCTTTTTTTTTGGGTCACCCTGCCTCGGTGGGCGACGGCCGACTTGTTGGAAAAAAAAATATATATTATATATATATATATATATATATTATATATCCTATATTTAATATCTATATATATATATATATATATATTATATATATATATATATATTTATATTATATATATATATATAATATATATATATTTATATATATATATATATATATATATACTATATATTTATATATATATATATTATATTATATATATATTTTAAGTAATTTCTGTGTCCATAACACCTGTGTGTCTTCAAGACCACAACACATTTACAAGAAAATCATATAATACTCAAAACATGGAAATAAGTCACTGACTACGTGTATATTGGATTACACCTAATTCAATCTGTCTAATGTATTTTTTGAAAGAATTCCACTGGTATTATGAAATTGTTATGAATTTAGAATGAATAAGGCATTTTGCTGCCAGTTCCACACTATTTGCTAGTTGGGAAGCTGCTGGTAGAACAACAGGTCCTGGTTTCATTGTTTGCTTATGACTAGTTAGGCAGTGTTATGCATGATGCAATATGTGGACCAGTCTGGTCAGATTTTTTTTTCCAAGGCATGAAGAGATTGTACGAGACCCAAACATTTGTGCTGAGGATAAAAATACAGTGGAACCTCGACTTATGAGTTTAATCTGTTCTGTGACCTAGCTTGTAGCTCAATTTGCTCATATATCAAATCAATTTTCCTCATTTGAATTAACTGAAATGCCTTTAATCCGTTCCAGAGACTTCCTGCTCTAGGAAGGCAGGACAAAATTACTTCAATTTAATGCTAATATCAACACATTGGCTTATGTATCTATCACCATTGATCTATATGAACATAATCAACAATAAAAATAACGGTGGAAATAAAATGGTATAAAATACCGACACAATGGAATATAAACACAAATGCAGTTAATGTGATCCTTTATTGACTACGTTTCGCCCACAACAGTGGGCCTTTTTCAAGTCACAAACAGAATACTGGGGTGAAGGGAACGCGAGTATTTATAGTCCGGTTCAGAATGCTGAGGGTCAGAGTGAAGAATGCTGCATCTGTTGATGTACCGAGTGGGTGATAGAGTCTAAAAACTTGGGTAGCTTGGAAAGGAAGATTGATTACAGTTTGTGAGCCAGACCTTCTACCAGTGTTCTTATGTGGGATAGCGATGAAGAAGTTTCTTGGCAAGTGGTTCAGCTATGTTATAGAAGCCACTATTCTGGTTGAAGTTGTCGGATATAGAAATAAGTGATGATTCCAGGATTCTTCGGTATTGAGTGTTGTCTTCTGTGGCGATAAGTCTTGAGTTTCTGTAGTTTATCAAGTGGTTGTGTGAATTACGGTGTTGTACGCAGGCATTCCTTGTGTCGTCAGACCTGCTTGCGTATTGGTGTTCTGAAACACGTGTTTTGGAGGTCCCTTGATGTTTCGCCCACGTATAACTTGTTGCAGTCATTACAAGGGATTATGTATACCCCTGCAGAGGATGGAGGCTTGTCCTGTCTACTACTGGTGATGTCCTTGATGGTCATGGTTGTGGAGGTAGATACTTGGAATGATGTTTTGGCAAAGATGTTGGAAACATGTTTGGCAATGGAGTTGGTGGGAAGGACTATGCATCTCTTCTCGGCAGTGTCTTCTCTGGGTGTGTTGAAGATGTTTAATGCCCGCCGTCTGCAGTCTCTGATGAAATGACGAGGATAGTGGAGTTTAGAAAATATTTGTTCAATTATAGTGCATTCTTCCTCAAGGAACTCGTTGCTGCAGATTCTGAATGCACGCAGGAAGAAGCCTATAATTACACCACGTTTGGTTTTGGTGTCGTGGTGAGAGTAGAAGTGGAGAATATCGTTTTGGTTGGTGGGTTTTCGATAGACTTTAAAACGAAGTTCGTGGTCAGCTTTGCAGAGCAGGACATCAAGGAAAGGAAGAGTGTTGTTGACTTCTTCTTCAAGTGTGAACTGGATTGAAGGCTCGACCTGGTTGAGCTTGTCTTGGAGAGTTTGAACGTTGAAGCGTTTAGGAGTTATGAGGAGAATGTCGTCAACATAACGGAGCCAGGTGACAGACGAAGGAATAATGGTGGAGAAACGTTCGGCTTTTAAAGTCTATCGAAAACCCACCAACCAAAACGATCTTCTCCACTTCTACTCTCACCACGACACCAAAACCAAACGTGGTGTAATTATAGGCTTCTTCCTGCGTGCACTCAGAATCTGCAGCAACGAGTTCCTTGAGGAAGAATGCACTATAATTGAACAAATATTTTCTAAACTCCACTATCCTCGTCATTTCATCAGAGACTGCAGACGGCGGGCATTAAACATCTTCAACACACCCAGAGAAGACACTGCCGAGAAGAGATGCATAGTCCGTCCCACCAACTCCATTGCCAAACATGTTTCCAACATCTTTGCCAAAACATCATTCCAAGTATCTACCTCCACAACCACGACCATCAAGGACATCACCAGTAGTAGACAGGACAAGCCTCCATCCTCTGCAGGGGTATACATAATCCCTTGTAATGACTGCAACAAGTTATACGTGGGCGAAACATCAAGGGACCTCCAAACACGTGTTTCAGAACACCAATACGCAAGCAGGTCTGACGACACAAGGAATGCCTGCGTACAACACCGTAATTCACACAACCACTTGATAAACTACAGAAACTCAAGACTTATCGCCACAGAAGACAACACTCAATACCGAAGAATCCTGGAATCATCACTTATTTCTATATCCGACAACTTCAACCAGAATAGTGGCTTCTATAACATAGCTGAACCACTTGCCAAGAAACTTCTTCATCGCTATCCCACATAAGAACACTGTAGAAGGTCTGCTCACAAACTTATCCAATCTCCTTTCCAAGCTACCCAAGTTTTTAGACTCTATAACCCCACTCGGTACATCATCAGATGCAGCATTCTTCACCTGACCTCAGCATTCTGAACCGGACTATAAATACTCGCGTTCCTTCCACCCCAGGTAGTTCTGTTTGTGACTTGAAAAAGCCCACTGTGTGGGCGAAACGTAGTCAATAAAGGATCACATTATACTGCATTTGTGTTTATATTTCCAATATAAATAACATAGAAACATGATATATTTACTCTAGAATGTGCAAAACAACCACTCTGAAAGAATAGAGAAATTCCAAGCGCTTTCGTGACTACTCACATTATCAAGGAACTAGAATGAATAAAATATGTCACTATGTGATGAGTGGTGGTGGCCATTGCCACTGCCACACTGACAATATCTTCCCCTTCTGAAAACAGTGCTTTTGAGGCTAACTGCATTAGATCACTAGTTTCATAAGGAAAAACTGAAACAATGTATTTATAAATAAGAAATATTGCATAAAACATAATAGAGAAAGTAAAGGAATACACTGGTTTTATAAAGCGTACATATGCTGGTGGAGGTGGAGGGTGGAAGATAGGCTACTTGCTACACTCTTAATGCTACACTTTATCGCTGAACTTAATTGCTACACTCTTAATGCAAGGCAGTACCAGCATAGCAGAAGTACGTACTACACTCTTACTGCCTCGCAAACAACCCGTACACCTCACACCTCGCTCATGTTTATCTATGATTTTATGCTATAATTCCATGGACATCATCCTCTTTTTTTTCTCAGCACTGTCTTTTGCACTTACTTTCTTAAGACCCATGGTTAGAAAAAAGAAATTTGGCAACTACACAAAATGCAAGCAAAACATGAGAGAAATGCTTCCATGGCAATATAAACAGTGCACTGCACAGTTGGCAGCATTGAGAGGCTCTTGAGATAGGGAACTGAATCTGTGCTCTAGTTCCCTAAATTAATAATAATAACAATAACAATAATAATGAGGAGATTCAGAATGCCGCCAACTGGCGAAGGGAACTGTTTACCTCACTGTGGAAGCATTTCTCTTGTGTTTTGCTTGCATTTTGTGCAGTTATTTTGCCAGATTTTTTTTCTAACCACGGGTCCTAAGAAAGTAAGTGCAAAGGACAGTGCTGAGAAGAAAAAATGGATGATGTTCATGGAATTAAAACATGAAATCATAGATGAACACAAGCCAGGTGTGAGGGTTGAGGGGGAAGCTCACTCATACCTTGGATTTTGGCTTGTAACTCAGAGCAAAAAACTGACCGAGCGACTGCTTGTATCTCGAAAAACTCCTATGTTGGGGCACTCGTAAGCTGAGGTTCCATTGTACTGGCAGGTGGCATATTTGAAGGCACAAAAAATTGTGCGTATTAGTAATTATTATGTCGGATAGTCATCACTTGCATGACAGTACATTGGACACAGTTAAAAGGTTAATATATAAATATGAAATACAAATGTCAAAGTAATAAATATAGCAGCAGACAGTATTTATGAAGTCAAATGAGGCAATCAGTGTACTACTGCTACACTTATGTACAGAGAAAGCAAGAAACCTGTTTTTTCCTTTTTATACACAAAAGTTTACCTCTCTCCTCAGGCGAGATGTCTTCATCCTCGCTCTCTTCTTCAACTTCTGGTACAATTAATGCTTTGGGAAGCTCATTGCCTCCCAACTGTATCCTGGAATACAATGAGCCAGCTACTATTAGTACATTCATGTAACTAGAGGGAAGGAGCAAGAAAGGGAGGTTTAAGAGAGTGCATGGTAAAAGATGCCAGCAGAAGACCCTTCAGCGAGACACCAAGTATAGCCAAGACTGCATACTACATGAAACTCCTATCTTTAGTTAATACTTAGTGGAGTGCACAAGGGCACTGATTTAAAAGCTTTCCTCGCCTACCACTGAGTTACCTAAATGAATGCATTTTTGCACATATGTTTTCAAATTACTATGATGTCACAAAAGTATGAATTGATGAAGTCACTAGTGGACAAGAGGTTTTTCTAATAAAATACCATAACCAACATACTGTGCTATCATCTCATTTTCAGTGCACATCATCACTTCAAACATTCAGGCTGACAGTGTTTAGTGGAAAAGACAGCACCACCACAAGCTTTGGCCAAAGCAAAGTCAGAATTAGCAGAGAAACAGTGCACCTACATCTCCACTCTCCAAATATTACTATGTTGATAACATAACAGAAGCAGCAGCTGGCAGATGACTTGCCCATTTATTAATAGCTGCACAAATGAACTGGCAAATCATTTGGAGCATTGCACTCTGGTTCATGAGCCTTTTGAAAAGATCTAAAAATAAAGATTTCAGGCTAAGATTGTTCTGATTTGTCAACTGGCTTTTTTGTCACATTGTATGACAATCTATGCTTGCTTAAAAAAAATCTGTTTTATTTAAAACTCTTACCCTTTGCTGAAATAGTGAAAATGCATGAAATACTTACTTTTGGGCCAAAAGATCAGCATCAATACCATCATGTTCATCTCCTGAGTCACCATCCACATAATGCGCAAATGGTGTTTTAGGCTCCTCTATCTTCATGTGTCCATAGTCTTTGTCTTTGGGATGCAGGGTGGCTAGAATATTCATCTCGTCCCATTTTGTCCCTTTCCTATGCAAATTAAAATTAAAGCAATTAGCAATTTAAAAACTATTTTCATTTACTGCATCATGTGAAGTAATAAATGCTGCATCACTATATATACAAAAATCCTTACTACATTTATCAAATGCCACCGAGAAAAAGTGTACAATTCAGCAATTCAATAAATTACCTAACCACCAACTATACAAGATAATCAAGGCAGCATATTATATATAAAAAAGGAGCTATTTATCATTTATATCCACCATATACAGCGAGGTATCAAAACCAATCATACTTCTGTAAAAGGTTGTTCAAACTCAAAGCCAATAGTGACTTTCAGGGGAAGCTGCATAAAAGTTGGTACTTTATCAAGATACCTACAAGTATGTAAATAAGACACATGACATTTTAATCGGATTGATAAAGCTCCCCAGCAAGTCTCTTTTTTTTTACAAGGTTAGCTGCAAAATAGGAGTCATGACTTTTTCCTACATCTGTACTAATCAAATGCAGTACCACAAGGCAGCAATGAGCAATGTGTATAAGTTGTACATGAAATTTGTGTCCAACATTTTATTTGTAACAGTAATTAAATTGATAATCGATATCAAAATATATTTTTACTTTTGTACATTGTTATCTATGTGCAAAAGTGAAATTATTACATGTTCCACAGAGAATATTCATTTGAACTTTGATTCAACTTAAGCAAGTGTTTTCTCAGTGACTTTTCTGGCTAGTAATGTGTCAGATTACTTTTTTTCAGTTTGCTCCTGCTGGCAAGGAGGGGGTTCTGGAATGACAGGTTCTAATAAGACATTGTGCATTAGCCACTAAAAATGTTTCAAGGATCTTGCCGCATATGAACGATGTTCCTTTTGTAACTGCACTGATCAATCAGTGTTTTTAAAGTGGATGTTTTTCCACAGTCAATGAAGGGGAGACTTCAGTTTGCCCACTCCTCAAAAAGCCTGTCCTTGATTCAGAAAACATGTCTAACTATTATCATATTTCTAATCTTATGTTCCTTCCCAAATTGATTGAATGTGCTATTTTTGATCAAGCATTTTTTTTTTTTTTTTGGAGTGGAGAAATGTTTCACCCTGTAGGTATTCAGTGTGTGTCTGCTATTTCATTTAAGGGAGACTTCTTTGTGTCAAGTTTAAAATGATTTGGTGATAAACACACTTTTTTGAAAATGAATAACTGCTAGCTACTAATTTTGTTGGCCCCCTCTGATGCATTTGATACCAATGATCATGGATTAATGACGAGTGATCTTTTCAACTGTGGCCTTAGGGATACTGCATTGTTGTTTCTGCTGAATCATATCTAGTAGTAGTCAATGATTCTTGATCTGAGCTATCTCCTTTGCTTTACAGCAGGTATCGGCAACCTATGACCCATGGGCCAGATTTGGCCCATGATGCAAAATGCTCCAGCCTGCAGTCCCAAAGAGAAATACAGTGGACCCCCGCATAACGATTACCTCCGAATGCGACCAATTATGTAAGTGTATTTATGTAAGTGCGTTTGTACGTGTATGTTTGGGGGTCTGAAATGGACTAATCTACTTCACAATATTCCTTATGGGAATAAATTTGGTCAGTACTGGCACCTGAACATACTTATGGAGTGAAAAAATATCGTTAACCGGGGGTCCACTGTATTACATCAACTTGGCCCACAGACTTTTTTTTTTTTTTGAGGACTTCCATCATCTTGAATTCAAGAACAAGTGCAGACAGTGAAGCTTGGCAAAACTATGATCAGCTGTGGTGGGTAGCGACTACTTTTTTTTTTTTTGTATCAGAGGTGTTACAAGCCCATATGTAAGCCTACGTATGTGTTAAAAAATTAAAAACAAGGAAATGCCAAAAACAAATAAAAAAAAGAAACATTTAGAATACTAATATATTCAGTAGACATAACTTTTCTTAATTAAATATATAAATATATGTCAAAGTTTAGTATGTATTATTATTACCTTTAATTATTAACTATGGCAATAGATGTGGCCACTATCCTCTCACATAGGCCCTGGCCCTTAGGCAGAACAACACTGGCGACCCCTGCTCTATAGCATTCCTCAGACCTCTGATCTTGGACCAGTAATGTTTGCTGTTTATGTTAGTGGCTTAACCTTACTGCTGGATGCCCATGGGATTCATTATTGCTTTTATGCTGATGATACACAGGTCTATTCATGGGTTTTAAATGTGGAAGATGAAAAAATCTGCTTTGGTTATCTTTTGCTGTACACTGTATATTCAGACTTGGATGGCAAATATACTGTAATTGAAATTAAATAGGGGTAAGATTGTCAGGAGAAAATCTAAGGGAAGTTCAGATTAAATATTTTGGTGTCTTGGATTGGCCAGTTTGCTAATTCACTTATTAACCCTTTGACTGTCGCGGTCATATAATATATACGTCTTAAGAGGTACAGTGTTTGACGTATATATACTCAAATTCTAGCGGCTTCAAATCAAGCAGGAGAAAGCTGGTAGGCCCACATGTGAGAGAATGGGTCTGTGTGGTCAGTGTGCACCATATAAAAAAAATCCTGGAGCACGCAGTGCATGAGAAAAAAAACTCAGACCCTTTTTTTTAATTAAAATGCCGACTTTGTGGTCTATTTTCGTATAGTATTTATGGTTGTATTCTTGTTTTCTTGGTCTCATTTGATAGAATGGAAAACATATTATAGAAAGAGATGTGATTTTGATTGATTTTACTATAAAAAGTACCTGGAAATGGAGTTGGATTTTTGCCGATGTTCAAAAGTAAACAAATGATGCCATTGTCCAATAAATGTCCAACTAGCCATTCTAATATGCAGTCATGAATGGGTTGATGTTATTTATACAATTATTACAGTATTGTAGTAGTCTGCATAACAGTAAATCTTCTATTTTTTGTTTGACTAAAAATTCAAAATAGAAAGCAAGAGTAATATCAGAGGGGCCTGGAGACGTGACTGATGAACAAAGAAAATGTTATTTTAGAGCCAGGAATGTCTGCATTGTTCATTCTGGACCTTATTTTGAAATTATCATATTTTTTAATTTTCGTGAAATTGGCCAAATTGCAAATTTCTGACCATGTTATTGGGTAGTTGAAATCGGTAAATGAGCAGTTTCTTGTACTCAATCGATAGAAAAAATGGAGTTCTAAAGAAGTAGCTATGAGTTTGGTTGACTGGAACAATGGAATTAGCCGAAAATAGGGCTCAAAGTGAGCGAAATCGCCAATTTGTAAATATCGCCGAGGTCGCTAACTTCGCAAGCGTAATTCCGTCAGTTTTCCATCAAATTTCGTGTTTTGGCGTCATTACAATCGGGAAAAGATTCTCTATCATTTCATAATTTTTTTTTTTTTTTTTAAATTTTGCGACACCAGGAGACACCTCAGGATTGGGGATTGCGACAGTCAAAGGGTTAAATTGGTGTCATTATTTCAACTGAAATGTTTTGACTATGCCTTCACTGTGCAGCCTAAGTTGCTAATGGCTGATACATCGGAGTAAGTTTAGCCTATACAGATCAAATGTGTTAAGGCACTGTCAGTTTGCAGCCAGTGGGATCTAGGTGTCTACCTGGATTCTTAACTATCATTTGTTGGACAATAACCAGACTGTTAAATCATGCAATTTTCATATTCATATTCTGTATGCAGTCAGAAAATACCTTGAAAAGCAGAGTATGTTGGTTTTTATCCATGTACGTATTTGCTTCTTTCAAAATGATTTTTACAAGGTGCCCCATGGCCTGGTGGCTAAAGCTCTCGCTTCACACGGCAAGGGTCCAGGTTTTCTTACACAAGTTGTCTATGTTCCCCATCAGTAAAATGGAAACCTGGGTATTAGTCAACTGGTGTGGGTCACATCCTAGGACAAAACTGACCTAATTTGCCCGAAATGCTCTTCATAAAAAGTGTCATTGATGTCAGCTAGGCCTGTATATCTTGTACATGTACATGTTGAAATAGATGTATTTTTTTTATTATTAACACATCGGCCGATTTCCACCAAGGCAGGGTGGCCCGAAAAAGAAAAACTTTCATCATCATTCACTATCACTGTCTTGCCAGAGGGGTGTTTTACACTACAGTTATAAAACTGCAACATTAACACCCCTCCTTCAGAATGCAGGCACTGTACTTCCCATCTCCAGGACTCCAGTCTCGCCTGCCGGTATCCCTGAATCCCTTCATAAATGTTACTTTGCTCACACTCCTAAAGATTGTCAAGTATTAAAAACCATTTGTCTCCATTTATGCCTATCAAATACGCTCACGCATGCTTGCTGGCAGTTCAATCCCCTCGCACACAAAACCTCCTTTACCCCCTCCCTCCAACCTTTCCTAGGCCGACCCCTACTCCGCCTTCCCTCCACTACAGATTTATACTCTCTCGAAGTAATTCTGTTTTGTTCCATTCTCTCTACATGTCCGAACCACCTCAGCAACCCTTCCTCAGCCCTCTGGATAAGAGTTTTGGTAATCATGCACCTCCTCCTAATTTCCAAACTACGAATTGTCTGCATTATATTCACACCACACTGCCCTCAGACATGACATCTCCACTGCCTCCAGCCTTCTCCTCGTTGCAACATTCACCACCCATGCTTCACACCCATATAAGTGTTGGTATAACTATACTCTCACCCTTTTCCCCTAATCAATTCTATGATTCACCTCATTCTTCATAGACCCATCTGCTGACATGTCCACTCCTAAATATCTGAATACATTCACCTCCTCCATACTCTCTCCCTCCAATCTGATATTAAATTATTATTATTATATTTGCTTGTCTGTGGGTTCGCCTAACTACTTGGGCATGTTTCCTTTCTCTCAAGGATCCCATTGGAAGTCACTTTGACTTTTTTTGGGGTTATCCCAGGTAATTTGCACTATGTGCCTATATAAACTTACTTCAGTCTGTTCTGAATCAAGCAGCTAGACTGATATTTTCACTCCTTATTGGGATTCCTACTTGAATGAGCTGCATTGGCTCCTTATCAAGGTAAGAGCTGAATTTATTAATGGATAGTGAATTTATTAACATTTAAAGATGTTAGGTTTAATGAACCCAAGCATCTTGCTGATATGCCTGTACTTTCTACATTGGACACAGGAATGTTTCTGCAAATTGCTGCCAACCCTCTTTAAGAGTGAATGAATCTAGTGTTGTTGGGGGAGAAATCGCTTGCAGAAAGTACCTTTTCTTATGTAGCTCCTAGAATGTTCAAGAGGCTTCCAGTGCCTGTTAAGAGTTAGAAATTAGTTCATAATTTTCATGTCTCAGTTGAAAGCATGTTTGTTTTCCAGAGCTTATGTTCCAGATGATCAGCCGGGCTGTGGTTTGTACATTGGATTGTGTGCAGCCAGCAGTAACAGCCTGGTTGATCAGGCCCTGATCCACCATGAGGCCTGGTCACAGACAGGGCCATAGGGGCGTTGACCCCCAGAACTCTCTCCAGGTAAACTGTCACTCTTGAATATAAACTTTAGCATTTCATCGCTGTTGTTACATTTATGGTTTGGTGTGCAAACGCTTCTGAATTTCATTAAAGAACAGACACTAAAAAATAACAATTCACAAATTATTATTACAGTATTACAGGAGGGCTCCACTTATACAGCAGGTTAGGTTCTGGGCTACTGCTGTAAAGTGAAAATCACTCTAAAGTGAAAAATAGCTATGAAGTCAATCATAACCTCATTTCACTTTCAAATGCACACAAAAGCTCAGTGGTCTGGTGGCTAAAGCTCCCGCTTCGCACACAGAGGGCCTGGGTTCGATTCCTGGCGGGGGGAAACATTTTGACACATTTCCTTACACCTGTTGTCCTGTTCACCTAGCAGCAAATAGGTACCTGGGTGTTAGTCGACTGGTGTGGGTCGCATCCTGGGGGACAAGACTGAGGACCCCAATGGAAATAAGTTAGTCCTTGATGATGCACTGACTTTCTTGGGTTATCCTGGGTGGCTAACCCTCCAGGGTTAAAAATCTCAATGAAATCTTATTTCTTAAGTGAGCAATACAGCTGTGTAAAAAATATATACATGTATATATATAGTACACATATTACTTACCTTATAATATTTTCATCCTTACAGTGAGTAGTGAATATATTTATTGTAGGAAGCCTGAAGAAATGAAGAATGGGCATAATTGAAAACCACTGTATTTGTGAAATGCTGTTAGGTGGGGCCTGTCTGTATGTAAGCTACATTACATATTTTTTTATGAACAAAGTTATATGTTTGGGATATGTATTACAGTAGCTGGGCAAAAGTCGTCTTCTTAGTCTTTTATGCAATTTACACAAGGGACTATCTATGGAAAAATAACTGGTCGATTTTTAAATTTGGGGTGTCCTGTGGCTCATTTGATAAAGTCCTCAGCTTACATACTGAGTATCCGTGGTTTGATCCCCACCATAGGTGGAAATGCTGTATGTGTTTCTTTACACTTGTTGCCCCTGTTCACCTAGCAGCAAGTAGGTGCCTGGGTGTTAGTCAACTGCTGTGGGTCGCAATCTGGGGGACAAAATTAAAGAACCCCCAATGGGTATAAGACAGTTCCCAATGATACACTGCCTTTACAGGGTTATCCTGAGTGCCTAACCCTCCAAGTTAAAAATGCATAATATATATATCTGTAGACAGATATATATATTATGTAACCAATTTTATAAATGTTGGGATACTCCAGGTAAATTTATATGTCACATATATTTAGTCTAAGTTATCCAGTGAAGTTACTGAATCTCCCAGATACTGACATAAGCAAGTTATCCAGGAGTGTGGTTCAGTGATTTCATAAATTATAACAATTTACTCTATATAATTTGTCTATTTTAGATTATATTGTGTTAAATCAAGTTGCTGCTTGCCACTAATTCTACTAAAATCATATATGGTAAAATTCTTCACTCATCAAAAGAAAAATACCCAAAATTACTGACTGACCAGTGATCTGACAGTGACTGAGATAACTATGAAATACATAGGAAGATAACTTGTAAAAATTATGCAAGATTTATATTACAGTGGAACCTCAAAAATCGAACTTAATCCGTTCCAGGAGCTAGTTCTAAATTCGAAAAGTCTGAAATTCAAAGCAATATTTCCCATAAGAAATAATGGAAATACAATTAATTCGTTCTAGAAACCCAAAAATATTCACACAAAAAATACATTTTAGAGAGATTAATTACAGTTTTACATACAACAAATAGTACTATAGGAGGAGGAGAGAGGGAGTTGGGGTTAGTGTTTGGAAGGAGAATCCCCCTCCATGAGGACTTCAGGTAAAGCCCTCTCTGGGGTTACTTCCCTTCTCTGTCTTTTATTGCCACTAGGACCAGCTTGAGAGTCACTGGACCCCTGTCTCACAAAACTGTCCACAGTCCTCTGTTTCTGGTGCCTCTGTAACAATTCCTTAAAATGGGACATGGTTCTGTCACTGAACTTGTTGCAAAGATGGCTTGTTTCAGCTTGCTCAGGGTGGTACTTCTGCACAAACATTTGGACATCATTCCACTTGGCACAAATCTCCTTAATCTTTGAAGAAGGCACCTCATCCACTCCCTACATTAACACCTTTCGCAACATCAGCTTCCTTGATTTGTTCTTTCTTTGACAGGATAGAACCGATGGTCGAATTGTTTTTCCCATACGTCCTGGCAAGCTCAACAAGTCTCACACCACTCTCATACTTCTGTATTATTTCCTTCTTCACATCTATGGTGTTTCTCACTTTCTTTACCACAGGGGTACCACTAGCAAGTTTCTTTGGGCCCATGGCAGCTTATTTCAGTCCCACAAGCACTAAACACGAAATAATCGTAAAATGCGTGAATGAGAGCGCAGGTTAGTGTTCATTCAAGCATAAACAAAGCTAGACTGCTCACGGTGCCTGTGTGGGGACGCAGACAGAGCGGGCGGCAGACAGGTCCCATACCCGGCGATCCGAAAATAGAGGCGCGTTCGATAATAGGGACACAGTTTGTCCGAAAAAATGGTCCTATTTTCGAAATGTTCGATATGTGATACATTCGATTTTTGAGGTTCCACTGTATTACATTTGTGGGGAAGAACTAAATTTGTAAGGGTCTTAAGGTGTCCCGCAGCTCAATCGCTAGCGCACTCAGCTCAAACACTGAGGTCTGGGGTTCGAATCTCCTCTGGTATGGCTGTAAAACATTAGGGACGTGTTTCCATAAGACACCTGCTGTCCCTGTCCCTGTTCACCCTTCAGTTTAAAATGGGTACCTGGGTGTTAGTCGACTGGTGTGGGTCGCATCCTGGCTGAAATGCTCAGCATAACAAGTGGCTTTCTATGTAGTAGTATGTCACTGATGACAGCTAGGCTTACATACCATGCATAAAGATATTATTATTATTAATTATTATTATTATTATTAAATAAGTTTATTCAGGTATACACAAATAGTTACATAGATTATCATACATAGCAGCATATGTGTAAAGTACCTAGGATAACCCAAAAAAGTCAGAGTGACTTATTTCCACTGGGGCCTTTTAATACATTATTATACAATGTAAGAGATATCTTATTACATTAAAAAGGATATATAATAGGAATAAGGTAAATAGAGTTACTGACATTTACACGTTTGTTATTAATAAAATAAAAAATCATTCTCCTCCCTCTCTGTTGCTACATTCATTAGGTACCTTTTGGTGCTCTTCTTGAACTGGTTCATGCTATGACTGGCTTTGACATGTGCATGCAGTCTGTTCCATTCCTTTATTGCTGTACAATAAAAGGTATTTGAAGCCTGGCCACCGACTGTGGGTACTACAAAGTTGTGCTCTCTCCCTCTAAGTACTATGGTTGCTTTGGTTCCCAGCCTTGACAAAATTAGCAGCAAGATATTCTGGACACTATTATTATTACCTGGGGGAATGGGAGGCAATTAAATTTGATCCAAGGAGAGAAGAGGCCCAACTCCTTGGATTCAAAGGCACTCACCAACATTAAGATTTATATACATTTGTTTGGACAAGACAGACAAAACGAAGACACTGGTAGATTTAAAATTTTGGGATACCCTAGGTTAAGTCGTCATAAAATATCATAGTTTGTATCAATATATCAATTACATTTACTCGAGTTGAAATACAAATATCTTAACTGTACAGTAATTAATTCCGTATAATGTATGACTTGTCCAAATAAAGTAACTTCCTTCATGTTGGCTCGCCAGCTAGTTAACTTTAGCCTTGACCTGGCATACACCTGCTGTTCCTTCGGTTATCTTATTCAAGATAACTGCAATAATTCTCATGTAATTTTCCATGGTAGAATAACCTATGTGTAACTAATCTTAATATAGCTAATATAATTTAGTGTTGCTTCACTGCCTTTACCTTGAACCCGCCCCCCCTTTCCTACCTATAGGCCCTGTCTCATTTATGTACTCCCATGCAAAAATTTTTGTACACGTTCCTGTATTAGGCATTTTGGATTTGGTGGCACTAAGTGGAGGATAACTAAATTATAATTCTGCCTTGGACATTTCAATAATAACCTAAACATAGTCAAGCGAGAGACAAGTGTGAGGACATTACTCTTACCTGTCACTCACATGACCTCCCTCCTCACACCATACTATTAAACAACTCTACTTCCTCAAACAATTATCACTTACTCTCTTTGTCTCTCGTTTCCTTCAAAACTCGACGAATTTTTCAGTATGCCCTTTCTGGGCTTCTTATTGAGGTTGTCGGCCATTGCCACAATAGAGAGAGAGAAGAGAGCACCTCCATGAGTGGCTCACACCTCTGTCTTCACCCAATGGTAACATTTGTTCAATAACCACAGCTGGCGCGAATTTTGGATTGCAAAATTGTGCAGCACATTAAGTCATCCAAGATAAGATCGCCTTTATTTATATTAGATATGTATACGTTCATATTAACCTCTGCTGAAAGTTTCTAAAATGTTTGAATTAAGTATGATTACTGATACATAGTTGTGATGAATTATAAATATTTAATATAGGATTACCTAAAAACTCAGTTGGGTTTATTTTTATTTGGATTTCAAAGCAGTGCGACGTTTAAAATATAAACATTACAAATGTTTTAGTAGTGGTAAGACTGAACACATTTTCCTTTACGGTATCATTCAGGTCAATTAAAATTTTAAGTTTCTTAATGGAAGGGAAACCCTTGGTGGGCGGGATCATTGAAACACTGAGGCCAGCACTATATGTAAGACTTCTGCTATCCGGTAAGTAGTTACACAAGCCTGAGCTGTTTCAACCTTAATATGTATTAACGTATTCTTATATGGCAAAACTCAAACTTATTATCAGGGTTGGTGAGGGGCTCTTGATTTAGGGAATTGGATCTGTGCTCCAGTTCCCTAAATTAAGCCTGAATGCCTTCCACATCCCCCCCTCCAGGTGCTGTATAATCCTCCGGGTTTAGCGCTTCCCCTTTACCTGGAGAGAGTTCCGGGGGTCAACGCCCCCGCGGCCCGGTCTGTGACCAGGCCTCCTGGTGGATCAGAGCCTGATCAACCAGGCTGTTGCTGCTGGCTGCACGCAAACCAACGTACGAGCCACAGCTCGGCTGGTCAGGAACCGACTTTAGGTGCTTGTCCAGTGCCAGCTTGAAGACTGCCAGGGGTCTGTTGGTAATCCCCCTTATGTATGCTGGGAGGCAGTTGAACAGTCTCGGGCCCCTGACACTTATTGTATGGTCTCTTAACGTGCTAGTGACACCCCTGCTTTTCATTGGGGGGATGTTGCATCGTTTGCCAAGTCTTTTGCTTTCGTAGTGAGTGATTTTCGTGTGCAAGTTCGGTACTAGTCCCTCTAGGATTTTCCAGGTGTATATAATCATGTATCTCTCCCGCCTGCATTCCAGGGAATACAGGTTTAGAAACCTCAAGCGCTCCCAGTAATTGAGGTGTTTTATCTCCGTTATGCGCGCCGTGAAGGTTCTCTGTACATTTTCTAGGTCAGCAATTTCACCTGCCTTGAAAGGTGCTGTTAGTGTGCAGCAGTATTCCAGCCTAGATAGAACAAGTGACCTGAAGAGTGTCATCATGGGCTTGGCCTCCCTAGTTTTGAAGGTTCTCATTATCCATCCTGTCATTTTTCTAGCAGATGCGATTGATACAATGTTATGGTCCTTGAAGGTGAGATCCTCCGACATGATCACTCCCAGGTCTTTGACGTTGGTGTTTTGCTCTATTTTGTGGCCAGAATTTGTTTTGTACTCTGATGAAGATTTAATTTCCTCGTGTTTACCATATCTGAGTAATTGAAATTTCTCATCGTTGAACTTCATATTGTTTTCTGCAGCCCACTGAAAGATTTGGTTGATGTCCGCCTGGAGCCTTGCAGTGTCTGCAATGGAAGACACTGTCATGCAGATTCGGGTGTCATCTGCAAAGGAAGACACGGTGCTGTGGCTGACATCCTTGTCTATGTCGGATATGAGGTTGAGGAACAAGATGGGAGCGAGTACTGTGCCTTGTGGAACAGAGCTTTTCACCGTAGCTGCCTCAGACTTTACTCTGTTGACGACTACTCTCTGTGTTCTATTAGTGAGGAAATTATAGATCCATCGACCGACTTTTCCTGTTATTCCTTTAGCACGCATTCTGTGCGCTATTACGCCATGGTCACACTTGTCGAAGGCTTTTGCAAAGTCTGTATATATTACATCTGCATTCTTTTTGTCTTCTAGTGCATCTAGGACCTTGTCGTAGTGATCCAATAGTTGAGACAGACAGAAGCGACCTGTTCTAAACCCATGTTGCCCTGGGTTGTGTAACTGATGGGTTTCTAGATGGGTGGTGATCTTGCTTCTTAGGACCCTTTCAAAGATTTGTGTGATATGGGATGTTAGTGCTATCGGTCTGTAGTTCTTTGCTGTTGCTTTACTGCCCCCTTTGTGGAGTGGGGCTATGTCTGTTGTTTTTAGTAACTGTGGGACGACCCCCGTGTCCATGCTCCCTCTCCATAGATGGAAAAGGCTCGTGATAGGGGCTTCTTGCAGTTCTTGATGAACACGGAGTTCCATGAGTCTGGCCCTGGGGCAGAGTGCATGGGCATGTCATTTATCGCCTGTTCGAAGTCATTTGGCGTCAGGATAACATCGGATAGGCTTGTGTTAACCAAATTTTGTGGCTCTCTCATAAAAAATTCATTTTGATCTTCGACTCTCAGTCTGGTTAGCGGCTTGCTAAAAACTGAGTCATACTGGGACTTGAGTAGCTCACTTATTTCCTTGCTGTCATCTGTGTAGGACCCATCTTGTTTAAGTAGGGGCCCAATACTGGACGTTGCTCTCGACTTTGATTTGGCATAGGAGAAGAAATACTTTGGGTTTCTTTCGATTTCATTTATGGTTTTTAGTTCTTCCCGCGATTCCTGACTCCTATAAAATTCCTTTAGCTTAAGTTCGATGCTTGCTATTTCTCTGACCAGTGTCTCCCTACGCATTTCAGATATATTGACCTCTTTTAGCCGCTCTGTTATTCTTTTCCGTCGCCTGTAAAGGGAGCGCCTGTCTCTTTCTATTTTACATCTACTCCTCCTTTTTCTTAGAGGAATAAGCCTTGTGCATACATCGAGTGCCACCAAGTTAATCTGTTCTAGGAATAAGTTGGGGTCTGTGTTGCTTAGTATATCTTCCCAGCTTATATCGGTTAGGACTTGGTTTACTTGGTTTACTTGTTTTTGTTATTGAAGTTGAATTTGGTGAATGCTCCCTCGTGACTAATCTCATTATGTCTGTCTGGGGCTCCACGCATACATGTCTGAACCTCAATGGTGGCCAGGTGGCCTGGTGGCTAAAGCTCCCGCTTCACACACGGAGGGCCAGGGTTCGATTCCCGGCGGGTGGAAACATTTCGACACGTTTCCTTACACTGTTGTCCTGTTCACCTAGCAGCAAATAGGTACCTGGGTGTTAGTCGACTGGTGTGGGTCGCATCCTGGGGGACAAGATTAAGGACCCCAATGGAAATAAGTTAGACAGTCCTCGATGACGCACTGACTTTCTTGGGTTATCCTGGGTGGCTAACCCTCCGGGGTTAAAAATCCGAACGAAATCTTATCTTAATTATGTTGTTATCTGAGTATATTGTTTTTGATATGGTGACATTTCTTATCAGATCATCATTGTTAGTGAAGATGAGGTCTAGTGTATTTTCCAGTCTAGTAGGCTCTATTATTTGCTGGTTTAAATTGAATTTTATGCAGAGATTTAAAAGCTCGTGTGAGTGTGAGTTTTCATCAGAGCTGCCTCCTGGTGTTATTACTGCAACAATATTATTTGCTATATTCCTCCATTTTAGGTGCCTTAAGTTGAAATCCCCCAGGAGCAAGATGTTGGGTGCAGGAGCTGGAAGATTTTCCAGACAGTGGTCAATTTTTAACAGCTGTTCCTGGAATTGCTGGGATGTTGCATCCGGAGGCTTGTAGACTACCACAATGACTAGGTTTTGGTTCTCAACCTTTACTGCTAAAACTTCCACTACATCATTTGAGGCATTAAGCAGTTCTGTGCAAACAAGTGACTCTGCAATGTACAGGCCAACCCCCCCCCCCTTTTGCCTGTTCACTCTGTCACATCTGTATAGGTTGTAACCTGGGATCCATATTTCGTTGTCCAAGTGATCCTTTATGTGGGTCTCAGTGAAAGCCGCGAACATTGCCTTTGCCTCTGCAAGCAGTCCATGGATGAAAGGTATTTTGTTGTTTGTTGCTGGCTTTAGACCCTGTATATTTGCAAAGAAGAATGTCATCGGACTGGTGGTATTGTTGGTACTGGGGGGGGGGATGGGTTTCCGGCATTATTATCTGTATCTGTTGGTTTGGAGTGGAGGCCATAGACTGTGGTTCCACTCCAGGAATGACTGGATTTGGTGTACGATTTCTGCCATTTCCTGCCAGTTTTTTTTCCTTTCTGGCACTAAAAAACCTCTCCCTCTTGAGTGGCTGTGGCTACCCAGGTTTTCCCATGGCCTGGATGTTTTGTATCTTTTTGTCCCCTTTAGATGGTGTGCCTGGCAATTTAAGTTATAGCACAGTCTTTCCTGCACTGAAGAGGTACACATTTCAGGGTGAAAAAGCTTACAGGAAGGGAGTTTGCATTTTCCTGTTGTCATATGGGCACGGCATTTTCTAGGGTGGTCATAGTTGCACGTCCCGTCTGTTTTTCCAGATTTCCCATGTCTGCAGATACCAAGTGCATAGTATGTGCACAGGCTTGGTTTCCGTTTGCCTTGGGTTTCTGTGACTGTATTCCCTGATGGTGCATGTTTCCCTGTCTTATTCCTATCCTCCCTAGCACCAACAATGGAGCTCCCACCAGTTGTTTTTGGTAATATATCCTCACTATTGCTAGTGGAGTCCTCTTGTTTGCTATTTCTTGTGGTATTTCTAGTTTGCAATATTGGTTTTATCTTATCTTTGACTACACTTGTTTCCCCACTTCGGCTCCTGTCCCCTATGAGGTCATTTATATGTATTCCTTCCTGCGTATAATTCCCGACTACCTGGACAAAATCTCCAGCTTCACCATTACTGTCTCCCAGGACAGCACCTCCAGCTTCACCATTACTGTCTCCCAGGACAGCACCTCCAGCTTCACCATTACTGTCTCCCAGGATAGCGCTATCAGCCCCACATTTACTGGCTACCAGGACATCACCTCCAGCCTTACAGTTTCTGACTACATGGCCAGTATCAAGGGCAGTACCATTCAGCCCAGACTTTTTATGATTATAATAATAATCAAACTTATCATATTTATCATGTACAGTAATTTCCGAATAAGCAGTGTTGTCGTTTATTGGTCTGTGGCCTGGTGGCAAAAGCTCTAGCTTCACACGGTGGACGTCCAGGTTCGATTCCCGACGAGGGTTGAAACATTGGGCGTGTTTCCTTACACCGGTTGTCTATGTTAACCCATCATTAAAAAATGGGTACCTGGGTGTTAGTCGACTGGTGTGGGTCGCATCTCGGGACAAAATTGACCTAATTTGGCCGAAATGCTCTGCATAACAAGCGGCTTTCTGTATAATAGTATGTCACTGATGTCAGCTAGGACTGTATACCTTGCACATGTACTTGTAGAAATAAAGATATTATTTATATATTATTATATGTTATGTTATACTGTAGCATGTGCGTAAGCTTGAGTTAAGGTGGTAAAGCACACTTAGTAACGAAACCCTTCATTAACCAGGTAACGATACTTCACCCCCGGGAGGTCTTTCTAAAGTACACGAAATGCTGTACATAAAAACATTGGTATATAAAGTATATAAGGAAGGTAAAGTATATAAGAAAGGTAAGGTGTTGCGTAATATTAAATTTTAAAGGGGTGGACGAGGAAGCCATGGACTGGTTCAGCTATATTATTCCCTTTCTATATTATGGCTGAGATATATAGTTGACATCTTAGTCACTCAGTGACTGGGTTGGTACACAATGATGTCCGTGGTTCAGTCCAAGGCACGGGTGGAAAGGTTGGGCATGTTTTCTTACACCTGCTGTCCCTGTTCACCTAGCAGTAAGGAACCTGGGTGTTAGTCGACTGGTGTGGGTCGCATCCTGGGGGACAAGACTGAAGGACGACAATGGAAAGACAACAGACAGTTCTCGACGATGCACTGACTTTCCATGGTTATTCCGGGTGACTAACCCCCCGGCTTAAAAATCCGAACAAATCTTTTCTTACCGTATGAGCTAGCTCTCCATTCATTTCACCTAAGACGAAAAGGACGCTTCTTCAGTTTTCTTTATTTTGGAAGTCCTTCTCATCAAGAATACCTGGAGGGAATTTCGGGGGTCAACGCCTCTGCGGCCCGGTCTTTGACCAGGCTTTGCGGTGGATCATGGCCTGATCGACCAGGCTGTTATTAATGGCCGCTTGCAAACCGACGTACGAACCACAGCCCGGATGGTCGAGAACTGACTTTAGGTACCCGTCCAGCTCCTTGAAGACGGCCAAGGAGTCTATGTATGCTGTGAGGCATTTAAACAGTCTAGGGCCTGTGACACTTATTTATTATGGTGTTTCTTAGCGTACTTATGGCGCCCCTGCTTTTCATTGGGGGATGTTGCACAGCCTGCCGAGTCTTGCTTTCGTAGGGAGCGATTTCCGTGTGCAGATTTGGAACTGGTCCCTTTAAGATTTTCCAGGTGTATATTTTCATGTATTTTCTCGCCTACATTCCAAGGAGTACAGGTCAAGGGACTTCAACTGTTACCCAATAATACAGGTGCTTTATTGTGCCTATACGTGCAGTGAAAGTTCTCTGTATATTCTCCAGGTCTGCAATTTCGCCTGCCTTGAAAGGAGCCGTTAGTGTACAGCAATATTCCAGCCTAGAGAGAACAAGCGATTTGAAGAGAATCCTCACTGGGTGTGTGTGTGTGTGTGTGTGTGTGTGAATTTGTATATGTGTGTGTGTGTGTGTGTGTGTGTGTGTGTGTGTGTGTGTGTGTGTGTGTGTGAATTGGTATGTGTGTGTGTGTGTGTGTGTGTGTGTGTGTGACTCAACAATCAATATTTGCACCAATAACTCATTACAGTTGTGACCGGGTGTGGAAGTGTGAATTGCTCATTACACTATAATTTGTTCATGATTGTAGCCATGTATAAACGTAAGTAACCATTCTTACAGTATTCATTACCTTTGTAACTTGTGAGTTCATTACCTTGTACCTAGTTCAGCCATCCAAACTTTGGGGCCCAGTCCCTGGATCCATTACGTACCTCTGTAATCTGTAAATACCTTTGTAACTTGTCATGATTGTGACTAGACCTACCCGGAGTTCATTACCTTTGTAATTTGTGAGTTACATTACCTTTGTAAATTGTGAATTCATTACCTCTGTAACTTGCTCAGCTATCAAAACTTTGGAGTCCAGTCCCTGGACCAATTATGTACCTCTGTAATCTTTTGACTACCGCCCACAGGATGGGTATGGGGTGCATAATAAACATATTAAACTAAGACAGAGTAACTTATTTCCATTGGTATCCATACTAGAGATGTAGCAAAGACCCAGTGTGACACTGTGGTCCTGTTGTTCGCTCTACTGCTTACAGAATGAACAAGGGGTGTATAATAACTAGGCAACTAGCCGGCCAGTCCGTTTTAGGGTTCATATTGTCCTCGGGCCGTTGCAAGCTCTTGAACCCAACAAGGATAACAATAACAGATTTATTCGTACTTTCTACTGATACTTTTCTGTCATATCCTCCTTGTTTCTTAGTGTCTAGAAAGAGTAAGTTCAATTTTCTTCATTTATTTTCGTGGGAAAGAAGTCTGATATAAGGAATTAATTTTGTCATCTCAATAAAGCCATCCAATAAAAAGGCAAGTAAGTTTATTCAGGTACAGGTACACATAAATACAGTTACATAGAGTAAGAATTAGGATTAATCTGCCCGAAATACCTAGGCATGCTTGAGGCCTTTGTAATTAATATTTTATAATATGTAAGCCATACATTGTAAGGTTCGGAAGGAGATAAACATTTTCATTTTCATTTTCATGTACACGAATTATCACACAGCAGCATATGTGTAAATTACCTAGGATAACCCCCCCCCCCCCCGAAAAAAAAAAAAGTCAGGCAAGGTGACTTATTTCCATTGTCACATATTGATGATCTCTTTCAATATGCCTGCAATAATTTTCGTGTAATTTTCCACGAGAATGATCTGGTTAGGTATGTAAGATTATTTAGGTATTTTATAAATTACATATAATTTTTCTACAATGGTTTTGAGGGGACACATGCAGTATATTAAGTAGATTTAACCAGGGATATCTCAGAAAGTCATACACCCACTTTACTACTACAATTGTATGCCACAAACATTTGTGTGCCTACAGATTCATTGTACAGATTGATGCTGTTGTAAAATATAGCTGTAGATTTTCCTGAATAAATTTTATTTCACGTTTTAGAGTATTTGTCTGTTCTTCAATGTGGAAATCAGAGTCACTGATTGCTGTTTACTTAGGTAAATATACAGATTGTGAGCCACATAATGTAAATGAGGCCTCGGCAACAATAGATAGATTATTACCATGTGATGCTTGTTAATTATCAAGTCTATTAGTGTCACAATGGAGATAAGTCATTGTTTAACTCTGTTGAGCTATAATAATAATATAATAATATCTTTATTTACTACAAGTACATGTATATGGTATACAGTCCTAGCTGACATCAATGACATACTACTATATAGAAAGCCACTTGTTATGCAGATCATTTCAGGCAAATTAGGTCAGTTTTGTTTCAGGATGCGACCCACACCAGTCGACTAACACCCAGGTACCCATTTTACTGATGGGTGAACATAGACACCCAGTGTAAAGAAACATGCCCAGTGTTTCTACCCTCACTGGGAACTGAATCCAGACCCTTGCCGTGTGAAGCGAGAGTTTTAGCCACCAGGCCACTGGACACCATGACATCTCTGTGCCCTCAAGACCATCAAGAGAAAAGATTTTGTTCAGATTTTTTAACCCAGTGAAAGGTTAGCCAACTGAGATAACCTATTAAAGTCAGGGCATCATTGGTGACTGTCATATTTGCACTGGAGTCCTTTTAATCTTGTCCCCTAGGATGCAACCCACAGCAGTCAGCTAACACTCAGGTACCTATTCAATAGATGTATTTCCAGAAGGGAGTAAATATCACAGTTAAAATGATCCTACGGCCGCAGTATCCCCACTCATCCTTCAGCGTGCCAACTCTGTCCTTCCCACAATAAAACCACCTAAATGGTTTCATTAAATCCCTTCATAAATTTATTGTGCTCACTCTTCAACAGTACACCAAATCTCAGAAAACAGTTTGCTCTGTTTTAACAAGTTTTCATGTCTGCTTTGTGCACAAACCCTACCACTCAAAACTTCCTTTACCTCTCCTTTCATCCCTCCTGGGTGGTCTCTTACTCCTTCTATCCACCCTGTATTCATACACCCATTTTGTCAGCCTATTCTGTTTTGTTCTTTTTAAATGAAAAAAACATCTAAACAGCCTTTCCTCCACTCTCCCAATTTTACCTTTGATATCACTCTCTTGTAAATTATACACTCCTTATTCTCCACATAACATTCAACATATATATAATCATTGGTATACTCTAGCATATTCCCCTTTTTATCCTCCATTGATACACTTTTTTTCATTCCTCAGACATCCCAAGACTAAGTTGAAGATCAAATGTGGTAATCATCCTGGCATAGCACTTTGATCATAGGTATTTTATGGTGCATACTGGTATTATCCTGGGGAGAAACAAACCTAGACAACTGTTCAGGTGGCACCAAGCTTGGAACAGATGGTACTTTAAATCTTGATATGAGTAGCTTTTCACAGGGATGATTGAATCTCTGATTCATGTACTTAAATATAAAAAATTGCTTGTTTATTGTTACACCTGATCTTTATGTACATATGCATACATTTGCAATGACTATGAATTTTTGGGCAATTGGGGAGATAAGTTTAAGTGACCTTCCATACTTCAAGATGCTGGGCTTAACCCAGGGTTTATATAACGGAACTAGCAGTTCAATTTTAAAATTTGCTCCTGCCACAGGTTAAGAGTTTCCTGTCATAGTGCTCTTCATTCTGAACTGCTTCCTGAAGAGGTTCACTTGCCTCTGCCATGATTTTGAACACTGGTAATAGGTTTCCTACTGTAGAATGTTCCAAGACCACACACAGTGCCATTTCCATTTCTTGTCAGGATGCTCACTGAGTGGGCAAGAAAGTGCAGGTGCATGTGAACATGGGAAAATGAAAGCATATGAAAAATTGGGTTTGAAAGTGATTAGGGGGGGGTTTATTAACTTGGTGGGGTTATAAAGAATCAATAAATAGGTTACAATAGAACTATTATGTAATGATTCATGAAACCTTCCACTCAGAGTACTTTTTTCGATCTTCAAAATGTTATAATACTGTAATAATATCAGCGTAACTTTCATTTCAGATTAAATTCATCTGCAGTTTATTTCCTACTGCTTTTAATAGACATGGCAGAAGACAGGGAGATATTGCGCGAAGTATGGGATGGACGAGTTCCTGTGTGTGTACAGCTGGCTAGTGAAGACTGTAGTACTCTGAGCGCTCCAGATCCTTACTATCTAATGATCCCAAGGCTATCCTACTTTCCTCTAGTGATGGATAAGGTTGGCATTATTGTTTGTTAGTTATCTAATTTACACTATTGTATACTGTATGTTATGTTTGACCACTTTATTTTCTGACAAATTCTCTGTGATATTTGAAACTCACTAGTTAAGAATGGAAACTGATGTGCTTTCAGGATTTTCAATGTTTATTGTTTCACTCCATTTTTTTTCTTCAGATCCTGATCTTTTCACTTGCCCTTTGGTTATTCTTATGCATTAATCATAGTCCCATAAAATACAGTATGATAACAAAAAAAGGCACAATACCGTGACTGGAACGATACACAAATAACCTGCACATAAAAGAGAGGAGCTTACGACGACGTTTTGGACCGACATGGCTCCTCCTCCAATTTAATACCTCCCCCACTACAACTACTACTACCACCACCTGGCTATATATACCCCTCTCTCTCCTTTTCGTTAGTGTGACTTTGTAAATGGTCCAAGTCGGACCGGAACATTGTCGCAAGCTCCTCTCTTCTGTGTGTGGGTTATTTGTGTACAGTATGATGCTGGGTCATCAGCAACAAAGGATTTGTGTACATCTACCTATTTGTAATTAAAGCATCATATGTACATATTTATTAGACAGAAACAAAGACCAGAATTCCTGTCAGTGTAAAATATTTAACAGGTTCCTGTTTCACACTCATATGGCAGGATGGTAGTACCTCCCAGGTGGTTGCTATCTACCAGCTTGCTACCTATGGGTAAATCAGAGATTTGTAATATAATTTGGAGATAAATTAACAAAGAGAATGCAGAAGAGGATAATATACTGTAGTTGTATAGAAGTAATATAACCTAGTAAAAAAATATATAGTAATGGGTGTTTAAATATATTTATAGATGGGGATTCCAAAGAAGTAAATGCTAGGGAGTTCGGGAGAGGGGTGGGGATTAAATTTTTGGGGAATCCAAATACAGGAAGGGGGGAATGGGGGACACTGTTTTACTTTTTGCTGATGATACTGTGCTGATGGGAATTCCTAAGAAAAATTGCAAAGGTTTATGGACAGTTTGGGAGAGTGTGTAAGTAAAAGTTTGAAAGTGAACATAGAAAAGAGTAAGGTGATGAGGGGTATCAAATGATTTAGGATAAAAAAAATGGATATCAAATTGGGGGAGGAGGAAAATGGGAAGGAGTGAAGTTTTCAGATATTTGGAGTTGACAGTGTCACGAAGGAATTATGAAGGATGAAGTTAATCATAGAATGATTAAGGAAAAAAAGGTGAGTGGGTGTGTTGAGGTAATTGGAGACAAAAAGTTAACTATGGATGCAAAGAAGGAAATGTATGAAAGTATAGTGGTACCAACACTCTTATATGGGTGTGAAGCTTGGGTTGTAAATGCTGCAACGAGGAGACATTTGGAGGCAATGTGTGGTGTAAATATTATGCAGAAAATTCGGAGTGTGGAAATTAGGAGAAGGTGTGAGTTAATAAAAGTATTAGTCAGATGGGTGAAGAGGGGTTGTTGAGGTGGTTTGGTCATTTAGAAAGAATGGATCAAAGTAGAATAATATGGAGACAATATAAATCTGTAGAGGAAGGAAGGCGGGGTAGGGGTCGTCCTTGAAAAGGTTGGAAGGAAGGGGTAAGGGAGGTTTTGTGGGCGAGGGGCTTGGACTTCAAGCAGGCGTGCATGAGCTGTTGTATTCTGAGAACCTGTGCAAAAACAGTGATTATGTGTGAGTGAGGTGAGTGTTGAATGATGATGAAAGTATTTTCTTTTTGGGGATTTTCTTTCTTTTTGGGTCACCCTGCCTCGGTGGGAGACGGCCAACTTGTTAAAAAAAAAAAAAATCTGTAGAGGAAGGATGGCGGGGTAGGGGTCGTCCTCAAAAAGGTTGGAGGGAGGGGGTAAAGGAGGTTTTGTGGGCGAGGGCTTGGACTTCCAGCAAGCGTGCATGAGCGTGTTACCTAGGAGTAAATGGAGACGAATGGTATTTGGGACCTGACGAGCTGTTGGAGTGTGAGCAGGGTAATGTTTAGTAAAGGATTCAGGGAAGCCAGTTATTTTTATATAGCCGGACTTGAGTCCTGGAAGTGGGAAGTACAGTGCCTGCACTTTAAAGGAGGGGTTTTGGGATATTGGCAGTTTGAGGGATATGTTTGTGTAACTTATACGTTATATGCTTCAAGCTGTTGTATTCTGAGTACCTCTGCAAAACAGTGGATTTAAGTGGGAGTGAGTGAAAGCGTTGAATGATGATGAAATAATTTTCTTTATGGGGATTTCTTTCTTTTTGGGTCACCCTGCCTCGGTGGGAGACGGCCAACTTGTTAAAAAAAAAAAATCTGTAGGGGAAGGAAGGTGGGGTAGGGGTCATCCTCAGAAAGGTTGGAGGGAGGGGGTAGAGGAGGTTTTGTGGGTGAGGGGCTTGGACTTCCAGCAAGCGTGCATGAGCGTGTTAGATAGGAGTGAATGGAGACGAATGGTATTTGGGACCTGACGAGCTGTTGGAGCGTGAGCACGGTAATGTTTAGTGAAGGATTCAGGGAAACCAGTTATTTTTATATAACCGGACTTGAGTCCTGGAAATGGGAAGTACAATGCCTGCACTCTAAACTAGGTTTGGTATATTGCAGTTTGGAGAGGATATATGGGTATTTTTATACGTATATACAGTACTACTTCTAAACTGTTGTATTCTGGGCACCTCTGCAAAAACAGTACTCACTTAGTTGTACTCACCTAGTTGAGGTTGCGGGGGTCGAGTCCGAGCTCCTGGCCCCGCCTCTTCACTGATCGCTACTAGGTCACTCTCCCTGAGCCGTGAGCTTTATCATACCTCTGCTTAAAGCTATGTATGGATCCTGCCTCCACTACATCGCTTCCCAAACTATTCCACTTACTGACTACTCTGTGGCTGAAGAAATACTTCCTAACATCCCTGTGATTCATCTGTGTCATCAGCTTCCAACTGTGTCCCCTTGTTACTGTGTCCAATCTCTGGAACATCCTGTCTTTGTCCACCTTGTCAATTCCTCTCAGTATTTTGTACTGAGAGGAATTGAGTGATTATGTGTGAGTGAGGTGAAAGTGTTGAATGATGAAAGTATTTTCTTTTTGGGGATTTTCTTTCTCTTTGGGTCACCCTGCCTCTGTGGGACACGGCCGACTTGTTAAAAAAAAATGTATATATATATATATATATATATATATATATATATATATATATATATCTATAGGGGAAGGAAGGGCGGGGTAGGGGTCGTCCTCGAAAGGGTTTGGAGAGAGGGGTAAAGAGGTTTGTGGGTAAGGGCTTGGACTTCCAGCAAGCGTTCGTGAGCGTGTTAGATAGAGTGAATGGAGCGAATGGTACTTGGGGAACCTGACGACTGTTTGGAGTGTGAAGCAGGTAATATTTAGTGAAGGATTCAGGGAAACCGGTTATTTTCTATATTCGACTTGAGTCCTGGAAATGGGAATACAATGCCTGCACTTGTGTAAAGGAGGGGTTTGGATATTGGCAGTTGGAGAGGATATTTGTGTACTTTATATGTGTTATGCTTCTAGACTGTTGTATTCTTGAGCACCTTCTGCAAAAACAGTGATAATGTGCGAGTGTGGTGAAAGTGTTTGAATTGATGATGAAAGTATTTTCTTTTTGGGGATTTTCCTTCTTTTTGGGTCACCCTGCCTCGGTGGAGACGGCCGACTTGTTGAAAAAAAAAAAAACAAAATATATATATATATATATTATAGATATATAGTAGTAGGTTTGGTAGACAGCAACCACCCAGGGAGGTACTACCGTCCTGCCAAGTGAGTGAAAAAACGCAATGCCTGTGATTGTTTTTACATGATGGTAGGATTTGGCTGATGTCTTTGTCTGTCTCATAACTATGCAAGATTTACAGGCATGTTCCTTGCTACTTCTACTTACAACTTAGGTCACACTACACATACATGTACACATTTATTTATACACACTCATCCTGAGTTTCTTTGATTTTATCTTAATAGTTCTTGTCTTAAAATTTTCCTTTATATCCATGGGGAAGTGGAATAAGAATCTTTCCTCCGTAGCCATGCGTGTTGTAAAAGTCAACTAAAATGCCGGGAACAATGCTAGTAACCCTTTTTCCTGTAAAGATTACTAAAAAGAAATAAGAGAAGAAAATTGGTCAAAGTGGGAAGTCTGAATGTGCCGTGGATGTAGTGCAGATGATAAGAAAGAGATGATTGTGGATGTTATGAATGAGAAGAAGCTGGATGTCCTCTTTAAGAGAAACAAAGCTGAAGGGGGTGGGAGAGTTATTCAGTGGAGAGGAAAATGGGATTAGGTCAGGTTTCAAAATAGAGTTTAGAGCTAAAGAAGGAGTAGCATAATGTTGAAGGATAACATGGCAGGAAAAGGGGAATATAAATTGTATTAATTCAGGATTATGTGGAGTAAAAATAAAGATTGGATGTGAAAAGTGGGTTATAATAAGCGTGTATGCACCTGAGAAGAAGAAGTGTAGAGGAGAGAGAGAGATTTGGAATGTTGATGAATGCGTGGGGAGTTTTGAAATCAAAGTGTGAGAGTAATGGTGTTGGGGATTTTAATGCTAAAGTGGGTAAAAATGTTATGAGGAGTAAGTAGTAATTTTGGGGTGGCCAGGGGTAAATGTAAATGGGGAGCCTTAATTGAGCTATGTGTAGAAAGAAAATTGGTAATAAGTAATAAAACATATTTTAATGAAAAGAGGATAAAATAAATAAACAAGGTATGATTGTAGCACGTAATGAAAGTAGTTTTATTTAGATTATGTATTGGTGGATAAAAGGTTGATGGTAGGCTCCAGGATTGTACATGTTTATAGAGGGGCAACTGATATATCGGATCATTATTTAGTTGTAGCTACAGTTAGAGTAAAGGTTAGATGGAAAAGAGGAAGGTGGCAACAACAAGTAAGATGGGAAGAGAAAGTGTAAAACTAAGGAGGAGGAAAGTTCGGTGAATATAAGCGACTATTGCAGAAAAGGTGGGCTAGTGCAATGA